GTTACGCGGTCGCTGGGAAATTTATACGTCTTCTCGTAGTCCGGAGATCCGTCCGCGAGCTACGCGACTCCAGGATGCGTTGTTCGGATTTCGAGAACCTTTCTCGGAACGAAAGGTGCTCCTCGAGTGCCGCGCGATTGCGTTTGTTAGTCTCGACGAGAAACGTCGTTAACAGACGAAGAATAGATTCTTGATAGTCGACGAAACCTCGACTTGTCCTCGCGCGAACCTATCTGGCGAGCGAAAATTCCACGAGCTCGCTGTAATTGGAGCGATTAAAAGCGTCTTCTTAGCGCCGTCTAATTGGACGGGTTGATTCAAAAGTGGCATATCAAACGCGGATATCGTTTTATATCTTCGGTAACTATGAGCGGAGGAATCAACGGCGACGAGGCCGTAGTTGAACGTCGATGCTTAATTAAACGTTAATTTGGTGAACGAGCGGCGAACGGGTGTATGCGAGGCAGCGAGGCAGGTGGGGGCACAGGTAGTAGCAGGGGCGAAATTAAGGCTCGCCGGTTGATTCGAATTCTCCTTGAGAAATTTCCTTTCCCGAGGAACGCCCTTCGGTGCGCTCTCTAGTAGTTACTAAACTGGTCGTCTCAATTAGCGAAACTTGCAACTACGTTACCGACTTCCAATTAGTCATAGGTTGCAAACTGTATCGCGCGTTTACTGGAGCAAAACTAATAACTTCTAGACTATGAAATACACGCACAGATACGATGCAAATTAGTGGTGCACGGCTGGTGAACGTTTATGAAATACTTGGGTTAAGAAAAATTTCGGCCCTCGTCATCGGGGTAACACGAAGCTCGAACGAAATAAGTCTTTCAATTAAACGCGTTTCTCACCTTCTACCGGGACTGCTACCGCTGCTGTTTCTTTTTTCTTCGAAGGAAGCGACGTAAATGACAGGAAGTAGCGGGGAGCGCGATACCGATTTTTTTTTTCGCCGCGTCAAAGTTCAACGTTCCGTGAGAGGAAAGGAGAGACGCGTGTGCGTGTCATAATGACGGCGAACCGGTAGCTTTGTGTTGATGCACACTTGTACAGTGTACACGAACGATGTCGATCTCGGCGAATTTACGAAGGCCCTTGTCGCGCGGCTGATAGTTACAGGCCTGGTCTCAATTAGTAGAACTTACGTCGCTAGGGTCCAATTAGACGTAGGCTAGAAACTACACCCTGTTTGCTCAAGTTCGCCGTACCTGTGCACCACCGTCCGTCGTCGGATGGGGTTGCCGCCCGTCCTGCCAGCTACCGAGCCCGTTGAAGGTGTCTTTTTCCTACGCTAATGACTAATTAGCAGCCTCTCCACTTCACAGTATAATGACACGGGATACAGCCTTGAGCCGTCGGCTGGGATCATTATTAAGCCCCGAAATTGCAGTCGTGCCTGCCGTCCCGTGTTATGCGCCGCACCGCACCCTGCCCCTCTATACTTTCCTCTATCCTGCGCTATTCCCAACCCCCTTAACTCGTCGCGTATCCACCCTTGCCTCTTCGTTTCGCTACGAGGCTCGATCCATCCGCTCGAAGGACACGCGGCAAGATGCGGAACGTGACTCGACGAGGACGAGGGTGCCTTCCGATCTTCCTGTTCTCGTTCGAGTCCCTCTTTCTACCCCCTTTACTTTCCTACTTTGTACGCAACTTTTTCCCTCGTTTTTTTTTTTTTTTTTTTTTTATACTCTTTCTCCTTCGCCTCTTCTTCAACTTGTTCCTCCTTCTTGGTGCACCCCTTTCGTTCGAGGTTGGTTCGAATTCCGCGCTACCTGTATATACGTATCGTATCGTATCGTATCGGAACGGCTCTGTTCGCGAACAGCTACGAAATATTGAGTTTCAACGGATAAGGGATACGTGTGAAATTACTTGCTTAATTGCTTCGACGCTGGACGCAATTAAACGGGCTCCCTCGGCGCGCGGGAATCCGGACAAGTACCGGCCGATTCTTAATTGCGTGTCCATGTTTCAGCGCGTGCAGCTACATATAACCCGGAACAAGGGAAACGCGGTTTAGGTGAGAATATTCGAAGTTTATTTTTGGCGTGACGGTTAACAAGGATGAAAATTACAGCGTCGAGATAAACGAACATCAACCTGTAAACTCGAACGTTTCTTTGCGCGGTTAAATATAGCGTGTCGTGTAACCAGCGGTACAAGGAGAAGGTGGTGATTCTATTTGAAAAGGTAGTTTAAAACATGAAAGATAACATTTACTTTTCACAACATTTTAACATTTATTTTCTCAGTTCCACGACACCTTATATAAATCAATCTAGCATTTCTGCGCGAGTCCAGGAGCGTATAAAACGGTTCCATAAAAGTCCAAAGTGCGGTCCACGTTCATATACAGTTCGGATCGGTGGATTGAATCTCGTCGTCCTTTCCAAGCCCCGTAATATTATGCAGAGGCCATTCTCTTATGTACGGACAAATTCGTCTCGTCCTTTCGAATAATACTTCCACCTCCACATACTCCATTCCTCCTAAGCCAACGACCCTCCTTACCACCCTTCTCTCTCTCTCTCTCTTTCTCGGTTCTTTTACATTTATTTATTTCCTAAACGTCCGTCCCCGCTGGCTACTTTATATTTGACATTTTTATTAAACCAGCCGGCAGCCAGCCCTGTCGTAAGCGACAGCGTATCCCAGGACGAGGAGAACCGACGCGGCGATCCGAGACACGGGACTGGCCAGGTTATCCCATATTGCTGTTAGGGCAGTTTCGTAATCTCGCAAGGGTGCCTCTTATATTGACCAAATAAAAAGTCGTGTCCGTCGTCGATTCGTCGATCGGATATCCTCTCGTTTCAGCCGTGCAACCGATTCGATCTCGGTTCCTTCAACCGAAAGACAGTCGGCGCGGCGGGGAAAACGATGGAACACCCTCTCTGTATCGCGCTCGAAACCGCTGTACTCGGTCCCGCCATAAATCAACTTTTCAATTTACGATTGCGTTACGTTCGAGACACGGTCCACCCCCGTTTGCTAAGTCGTTTCTTGCGCGAGAACGATTTTACGCGGTCACCCTTGGAATTTTTGTTCCCTCGTCGAATGAGAGGGGCTCGAGTAAATCGGAATCGGCTAGTATTCGTTGCTCGGCCACCGATATCCTACCGTTGCGCATTGTCGCGAAATAATGGGACGGTAAATCGACGGGATTAATTTAATTTTATCTAACGTTTCATCGCTTCCGATAACAGAGCGCCGGATGGAATTGGATATTGCGTGCGGCCGACAAATAACTGTACGCTCGTGAAAAGTTTGATGTTTCGCGATCGATTTCCGCGCGCGTAACACGCAATGCGCGATCAACAGTGCTGGAAAGAAAAAATTCCTTTTTTTTCCGCGCGAAATTCTGTTACTTCGTCGAAACGTTATCTCCGCTCGCGATTAGGTATCTCGCGTTTCGTGATCCGATCTCTCGACGATCGTATCAATCGGACTAATAGAGAACAGACGAGATGGAGGAAGGTAGTTGGAATCGTTAGAGAGGGACGGGAGGAAGGGCAGGAACAAAAAAAAAAAAAATAAATCCAGAGAAAAAATGGAGCGCACAGATCGTTTGACGAATCACGAGGCGTCTCTTGGATAGCGATGTAGGTGGGGCACGCTAAGAGGGGGGCCAAGGGGATACGAGGTAGAGGGATGATGTTTTTTTCCTCCGCGGCGCCTCTTTAATTTGCCCTCCAATTAACGGACGGGGTCCTATTTGAAAAATACCTGCCACGAGGGCTGGCAATTATACTCCTTCCTTTTTTTTTGCGCCACGAGCGCGTTATTAGCGCTATCCGTCGTTCCTCTTGCTCCTCCTCAACCCCTGTGTTCCTACCCTCCTTTTACCCCCAACCACCGCCTACCCACACCTTCCTCTCCCCTTTTTTTTTCACGTCGGGTCGTGTTCCTCTTCGTTCCCACCATCCGTCCCTGTCCAACCACCCACCCACCCACATTCCGTCACCCTCGCTTTTTACGTGCGTGTGGCCGCGTTCGCATATCCGTATCCGCTCTCAAGCTTGTATGGGTTTTATGTGCATCGCAAAGTGTGCGAGTGCTGGTGAAGCCGAGAGGTAGGGGAGGAGGACACAGGACGGGCCTGTGCACAGCACCGAGAGGGCGAGAGGAGAGACAAACGGTTGGAAGAGGGAGAAACAGAGAAAGAGGGAGGAGAAGGTTGGAGGAATAGTAGGGAGGGATGGAGTGACGGGGGTGGTGGCGAGTTAGAGGAGTGGCGTTTATAACTCGTGCCCGGGTCTCCAAGCTTTGAGAAGGCCAATTAGCAGCATAAAGCTACAGCTCGGCCCCGGGGCCGAGGATGTTTGTATGTAATAATGGATTGTTACTCAAAGTATCCGGCTAATTAATTAAGCCCCCGCGCCTCGCCGAGCACCCACTCACCATTTTAGCCGGCCACCCTCCTTCACCTCCTCCTCCTCCTCCTTCCCTCGAATCGCCTTTAGAACGCGTTCGTTCCTGCGAATGCGCTCCTCCCTCTCTTACTCTCTCGTACTTTGCCGCTTTTCACTGCGCGCCGAGCCGCGTTCTCGGTTCGAACGGTTCCCGCGATCGATGCTCACGCCCCCCTTTATTTCGCGTCGATCTTTCAAACTTGCCCACCGGATCCTACCAGCCTAACTACGTTTCCGAGTGTCGGGATTAAGGGTGGACGTTGGTCGGTTGAAACCGTTCACCGAAGTTAAAAAAAAAAGTCGAATTGTTTGAAAGTTTTGTGATTCCACTTCTAAAATTAAAAGAAAGGTAACGCTTGCTCGTGCCAACTTTGAATGACGCTCTGTTAACTAAAATTCTACGCAAGCCTCCGTATTTAACTTTGATTCGTCGCGGGAGATTTTGGCAGGTCTCGACGAACAACTGGTCCAATTAACGCGGATCATTATTACTCGTTGTCCGCGAACGCTCAATGGTATGGAGACACGATTTAATACGCCGTGACAGATTTAACGTGGCCCTGTTTCTTTTACGTGTTGCAGACGGCATTCTAGCCGAAATCACGATGACGATGGACGTGAGCAAGTCGGAGCCGAGTAAAAATGGCACCACGCAACAGGAATGTGCTGGCTGTGGAAAAACGATCACGGAAAGGTGAGTCACGGACTGTGTCCAATTTCTTTCTCATTTACCACTTCCGCCACGATATACACTGAATTTCTTCGTGCAAGATTCGCGTATAATGAACGAAAAGTACAATGAATGTATAGAAAATCGCGTTGGAATAATTTAAAGGATGATAGCCAGGCTGGTCGGTAAGAAGGAAAACTATGGTCGGTTCTTCAGGTATCTCCTCAAGGCCTTGGACCTGTACTGGCACGAGGATTGTCTGAAGTGCGGGTGTTGCGACTGTAGGTTAGGAGAGGTCGGTTCTACTCTGTTCACCAAGGCGAACCTTATCCTCTGCAAGAGGGACTACCTCAGGCTTTTCGGGAACACGGGAAACTGCGCGGCTTGCAACAAGCAGATACCGGCGTTTGAGATGGTCATGAAGGCCAGGACGAATGTCTATCACCTGGACTGTTTCGCCTGTCAGCAGTGCACTCATCGGTAAGTTTTTATTACACTTGATACGCGAAAGAATTGCTTTTGGTTAGTTTCCTTTTTACGATGCCCCCTTGTTCGTCGTTTCCCGTATCGCGATGGAAAGCAATGGAAAGCAATGGAAAGGAAGAAAAAGGGGATGGAGCGCATGCAAAAGTAACAATGACGAAGGGGGTTTGAGGTAGGCGAAGAGCAGGGGGTGGATGCAGAGAAATACAGGGGACGAAAGGAAAAGAAGCGAGTACTGGTTTGCGAGACACAGTCCACTCGGGAGTTGCTTTACAGGTCAGCTGGGAAATCACCCTGTGCTCTATCCGTCGCGACCTCTCTTCCTCCGCTTGCGCCAGCATTCTACACAGGAACAGGCCAACTTCTCGTCCCGTTATTCCCGTTGCCGTGTCCCATCCTTCCTCCTATCCCCGTGTCCCCGACCCCTGAGACCAGTTATGTAATTATCTGGATACTGCTGACATTTTTGTATCATATTGCTGCTCGCAGGCGACCGAGACGCTCCCTAAATGCCGAATAGCTAGCTGGATTGCGCGACTTTCCATCTTGACGATGAACAGCTTTCGTTCCTTTCGTAATAATCTTCCAAATCGTCTGATTCTTCCTGAAACGCCACCATCCCTTCGCTCTACCCTCGGTCGCGCATTCATGTTTTATTAAAGTTCCGTAATTTGGTCGAGGAGCGTCTACCATCTGACGCATAAATTACAACATACACCTTCGAGTAATTGCTGGGATGCGAAATTTTATTGCTACCGATAACGAGGCTCTCGAGCAGTCTCGCGACTCGGACCGATATCGTCTCGCGCGTTGCGATCTCCGGCTGGTAGATGTGCGGGACAATGGTGCACTCGCGAGTTGCACGGAATGGAGGAAAGAAAAGAAGTGGAGAATGGGATGTATAGGAATGGCGAACTGGCAAGAAACTGAAAAAAGACGCGACGGAAGGTGAGTGGGTGGCGAGTCGGGGTTGCCGGGGGTTGAAAATCGTGGAGAACGAGCCGCGTTTGAAAGCGGTCAATGTAAAACGCCGAAACTATGGAACTGTGGCGAGGTACAATGCCGGCTTATTGACGAAACGAGAAAGGTTTTCGGGTAGTCGGCGAGCAGAAGCGAGTTGGCAACTGTCTTGGTATAAGGGGTGCGAAAGAGATAAAGCAAAGTGGCGGACGAGGTCGGCCAACGCGGAGGGGAGAGAAACGGAAGAGTAGAATGTAGTTTGGAGCCAATAACAGTGGCTCGTCCAGGCGTGCGACAAACGTTGTACAGCTTCTCAAACAATGCGAACAAAAGAGCATCAATTTTACGTTTTTATCGCGTGGCATTGTCTATCTTCGACAATGGGTCGGCGAACGGGCAGCGTCGAAACCGCGTCGCGCCGCGCCGGTATGCCCAAGGCATCGTCGCGTTCAGCCTGGCGCAACCGACTTCAACGGAATCAACGAAAACCTGCTTTTGTCTCGTAATTCACCTTCTCCACCCCACTCTGTACACGCGCGCCACATTCTTACGGTTCGATGAAAGCTTTTACGATGAAAGCTGGCCCGATAGCCCAGACGATTGCCCTTTTAGACAATCGATTCCTAAACCTACTCATTTAACTCGCTTTTCATATTGCCTCGTTACCGACCTAATTTCTATTATCTTTCACGACAGTTTCGATCGTTTCATGAATAATACTTTGAATAGTGTATATCAATTTTTTATTATTATTATATCGTAGTAGGGTAACGGGTTAAAACGAAACTTTCCAAAGAACGATGGAAACGATTCAACTTGCCCGTCGATCCGACGGATTTAGATATTACCGTTGGCCAGGGGATCGCTTCCAATTATTTCGCCGGTAAAAAACGAGCGGCTGAACTGGAGGAGGGCAATTATACGCGGGGCGCCGCGCCGCGACGTGTAACGCGACGACTTAGAGTTTGCAATTAAACAGCAACAATTACACGGGGTAACTTTAGACTGTAATAACACAGAATAAAGGGTTGCCAGTGGCGGTGCCTAGCCTACCACCCTCCTGGTTAGAGGATGATTTACCGATCCAATTAGATATCTCTCTCTCTCGTTCTATCCTTCTCTGGTACACTAGCAACGAGCACCCACACTCGCCACCGGAATACGCGTCCCCTCGTCCTTTCTTCGATCCTCTCCAGAAGACGTCCGGTCAAATTTAACGACCGCCCAGTTAATGCCCTCACCGACTACAAATTACATTTTCCCGCCATCGCGTCGCTAATTCGATCTTCCCTAATTCCTTATACTCGCGCGTTCATATCGAATCGTCGGCTTAAATTAAAACGTTGTTCGCGTTATATATATTTCTCTGTTCACTCAGCATCGAGGAAACGCGTCTCATCAGACTCGCGGAGTAAATTAAACCGGTAACGATGCACGGGTCACGGGGACCCTCTTCTTCCCGACGCGACGCGATCGCGGCAGCGTAGGCTGCAGCGTATGCAAATTTTATTCAAGAAACCTGTGTCCCTTCAAAGAACGGATTCACAGAGGAGAGCGGCGGTGAATGTTTTATTTCGAAGGAGCCTGTGAGCAGGGCCGACATTGCTCTGAAAGAACGTTCCAACTGCGCCGGTACCGAACACGTCCCGTAAAGTGACTCTTAACGGGGTCACGCATTGGCACCGGTTATTTTATTTATTTATTTCATGTCGACCTCGCTTCCCGTCCGTTCTTTCTCTCCTCTCTTCGCTCGGTCGTACGTTTCCACGGGACCTGGTATCCGATTTTTCTCCAATTCGGTCCTTCTGGGTTTCGCAAAGCCGGCTGACCCTCGTTAAACATTCAACCGAGTTATCTGAGAGACTGGCCCTCTCTTCTCGCTAGATTGAAATTTTCTATGCGAACTACATCTCTCTTGGTGATTTTTTGTCCCTCTCCTCTCGGTCCTGTGGTCGCGGTCGGTTAATATTTCAGTCGATGTATCGTAGCGGGCCACCGCGATGGCTCCAACTCCACGATCGAACGGTTGTTGCTAGAAAATGTTTCGTCGAACGTGCGTATTTAATCGTCGGATAAAAATATTAAATTTATTTCGTTGTTTCAACGAGAATAGAGCGAAAACCTAATGGAGAGGATTCAATTGTATCCTGGAACGTACAGCTCGAAAATGCTAGATAAAAGTGGAAAATCTGCGTGTATCGCGAGCTGGTATCGTGTCGGGACAGACAGCTGCACCGGTTGCGAGAATTAGAGGACCGGATCAGCCCGGCATTATTCCCGCGATCATAATAGAGTTCCTGGAACGAGTGCACTCGTGCAACGTGATAATTCTGCCGGTTCGTTGTTGCGCGAGTTTCTGCTTCGATTCAAACGATCCGCGAAAACGAACACGTTGCGAAAACGTGCTCTCTATCGTTTGTTGCTTTATCAAAATAATGAAATCGAATGCTTTCGAATGAAATCAGGACAATCGAACGATTCGCACCGCTTTATTTTGTCCCACGAGTAGGTCGTTGATCCTCGCCCTTCGAATGTTTAGAAGCACAGTCTCCGAAGGTATAGATTTCTCGCACAAAGTGTCTAATCTTGCGCGATTTAGCCGATAAGCAAATTAGCAGAGAAGAGGACACCTTGAGAGCAAAGAGACCGGTGGTGACGCGATCGTTTGCCGCGTTGAAAACGAACAGAGGCCAAAAAGCAGCGGGTGACGGTCAGCTGAATAACAGGAGAGAGAAGATAGAGGGCTGGAAGTGGCGGAAGGAAGGGTGGAAGCGAGAGGAGGGACGAGGATCGGAGTACAGCGTCATTTAGCAGACGACGCGTATAATGGGGGAAACGAGCGAAACCCGGTATAAGCTATGCTAGCCGGCAACGGCCGCTCGCAACGCGATAATTCTATTTGCCGTACGATTATGAGAGTATCTACCTCGAACCAGACTCTACCGCTCTCGTATTTCGCTCTCGTATTTCCTACCGGGATCAAAGCGGATGTGAGACCGCTCGCGGACAGAAGCCCGATAATAATTATTTGTCCGACACGTTGCGATACGCTCGTTATCCACCGCTCCTACCATCAACCCTTTTACCATTGTTTTTCTTTTTCCTTCCTATTTTTTTTTTTTTTTTCTGTCGCGACGATCAACCGATTATCGACGTGCCTCATCGCCGGGGGTGACTATCCCGCGGGATAGCTCCACTGAAAAGACTCCGGTTAGATTCACCTTTTTTTTTATAATTTTGGTACGCGTTTAAAATGATGCTCGGTTCGAGAACTGCATTTTTCCTCTTTACTCTGTTTTTTGAACGCATCGGATTTGATGACACAGGGTGAATTTTTTAGGCTGAGGAGTCTATTATGATCAATTGATAATGGTCAATTCCTATTTTGAGATATCGAGCTTTTAAATTTTGGAATTGCGTGATGCAGATAGGAGATTCTCTGCTTAATGGCCTGATCAGTTTGTCTTGTTCTACTTCCGCTAGAGCGTGCCCGACACAGTAGAAGGTGCCATATCTAACGCAGCGTCTCTGTAAGATTTTGGTAGCGTTCAATCACGACGCAATGCCTCCGGTTTTGATTGCAGGTTTTGCGTGGGTGATCGGTTCTATCTGTGCGAGAACAAAATCCTGTGCGAGTACGACTACGAGGAGAGGCTGGCATTCGCCAATATGTCACTGCAAACACCCGCCTCGCTGGCGTACATCAAAAGGCAACTGCCCCCAACACCGACACCGCCTGGACAGAACATGCATCCGGGTCACAATCCGTTGCAACCTCATCAGGGACTTGGCCAGTCGGTGGGTCAACATAATCACGTGTCGAACGTAAGTTAAGAGATTGGTAACGTTTGAAACGTTTCACGCGTGCGTCCGACTGGAAGAGAGTCGCGTTTTAATCGAAAACGTCGCGCGATAGAAAGCTTTACTCGCGTCATCGACCTTTGCCTCCAAGTTAATTACCACAAGTTCAGTGAGAAAAAAACGCTTTGCGTTTGTTGGAAGATGATTTAACCACGTCACTCGTGATATATTCGCAATTACTGGTAACGTTCAATTTGTCGATTCTTTTTACTGAGAGCGATGATCTTATGACTGCAGGGTCAAATGTCGGGGGGTACGCCAACGGTGAACGGGACGACAATAGGTGTCGGTGGTCCGAGAGCTCCCGGAGACATGAACAACAATGGTCTGTCGGGTCCGGCACTTGGTCCTGTGAAGCCACCGCCGATGTCTATGCAGGCTCCGACCAGCTGAAACGAGGTGTCACCCCCCTTGAAGAAGCTCAGATGTCTCAGCGGCTATTGAGGCTGATGACGAAACGAAGGAGAACGAGAACGAAGGGACGAGAGGCTGAGAACGCGACGTCGTGACCAAGTGAACACGAAGAAAACCGCGTGCAGGACGACAGTGATTGACGGACAGACAGACAGACATACACATATATATATATATACAAACACACAGCCACGTACACAGAAACATAAAACATATATGTACGGGGGGTGGTAAAGAATCGTTCAGAACGGACGACAAGAGGTAGAAGAGATACGGACCGACCTCCGTGAAGAATCTCGAGGACACTTCCGGGCGATCGAACGTTTTCCGAGACTTTGTCGAGAGGTTCGGGGATTAATCACTGTGATCGCGAAATATATATGAATAAATTTATGGATGACATGTTGACGATAGGAACGTGATATATCGTACACGCGTGCAGACGCACGCGTGCCACACACGGGATAGACGGACACGTAACATACGTCTTGTAATATACGGTACAACATGTAACGATAAACTAGGCGATTTATGTAAGATATATTTCTGGCGGGAGGAAGGATGAACGAGTTTGAAGAGTGCGCGTGAAGAAGTGAACGAGTGAATGAGGCAGAGTTTTCTTGTAAATAGCTGTTGTATCGTCGACTCTGCAGCACCGAAAGACTATCAGTATACGCAGACCAATCGATGATTTCTATGCTACTCGTGATTCGTCCCTATTCGACGTTAGCAGCTGATCGAGAAGACGAAGAGAGAGAGAGAGAGAAGCTGCCGAAGAGGAGAATCTGTAAGTTTCATTTGTTCAAATTTCGAATGCGACGAATCCCGAGACGTTTTGGAAAATCTCGGTATACGAGGCGAAATAGCCGAGTAAAGGTGTACCCGATGGCTGATACCAAAGATTAACGATGTAAGTTTCGATGCCCCTCAAGAGCAAGCCAGCGTTCCACGGATTTCGAAATTCGTTGCTCAGTGATATAATATAATATAATCGTTTTGCAGTTTTCTCGAACTCCTTGTACCTTGTTGCGAAGCGTTCCGCTTCGTTCGCACGCGTCTCCGCGATCGCGAGCTTGCGAAACGAGGGGCTTAGTCCGCGGCTTTACGCTTTAACGCCAAAAGATGCATCGGAACAGGCGGGTGAAGAAGAAGAAGAAGAAGCAAGAAGAAGACGAAGAAGATCGAGAAAAAAAGAAACGATAAACGGTGACGTGGATACCAAAAGACGGCTGAATATTCGATAACCGATAAAACGCGTGCGCTGATAAACGATCCGTTCTGAATCACCGACGAAGCGTGTCGCAAAACCGCCACGGGCAGCGCGTAATCGCGACAAAGATTTTCGCAAATTTCTCTGATCGTTAACGACGATCTTTCCTCCTTTTATTTCGATCAAGAAATTTACCCGCGTGTTGCGAATTAATAACGCGGCCCGAAACCGAAACCGAAACCGAAACCACCGAATCGATTAAGTACAAAAGATATTACACGAAGAGAGGATGCGCTTGGGAGCAGGATAGCCGATGTATAGCGGTCGTGTGCGCGAAAGAGAAAGATAGAGAGAGAGAGAGACAGGTAGTGTTGTAACGAGCGATCCACGCTCCGAGCGCGAGAGACGCGAATACTCTTTCCTCTTTTTTTTATCCATCTGTATATAAATATCATTTATTAGCGCACTATTAATATATTTACGAACCGCCTCTATAGGGGCCCCCATTACTACCGAGAAAATATAACATTCTTATAAATACAACAACACAATGAGTTTCAACAGTGTCTTCATTTCATTTCCAGGTCCGAGCGTCTATGAAATAGAGTGCACGGTTACCCGACGTATCCTTATCAAAGCATTCACCATCCTGCCCGCGATATCGCGTGATTGGACATTTAGCGTCAGAGGTGTTAATCGCAGCATCAGCATCATACACGACGGTATACCATGTTTTTCTTTTATCCTCTTATTTATGAATCTCCCCGTAACGTTTCTTCCCTCCTATTTCATCCCCAATAACGTTTGTTAACCCTCTTCGCATTATCCGGTTGATCCGCGTCTCGAAGTTGTACGAGAATCGACGAGAGAAGTAAAATCGTGGCTGTAGCGAGATCCGTTGATTTGTGGAGGCCGTATCGTCCGCTTGGTACAAGAAAACGGTTCGAACGGAGCCGGGACAGCTTCAGGATTGCGAGAGGGAAAGCGAGAAAGGGGTGAGGGTGATACAGCGAGGGGGAGGCAACGCGATTTCCCTAATGTCTTCCAGCCCACGGAGTTGAATGTTATTATGCACGGTGAAGACTTTATAATAGGACGTTGAAACTCTTTAAAACTTGCGGATCCTCCACCCTCTCAAGCTGTTGGCCTCGAAAAGGCTCGTCACTTTGGGACACTCGAATGATTTTTCTCGATACACTCAGAAATTGAACGTATTAGAACATTACGTCGGGCGTAAATTCGTATCTTAATATTCTTTTTTAAAATCTTCATTTCTTGATTATTAGAAGTTGAAATGAAACGTTGAAATTTATTTAAACTAGCAGAAAATAATTTTCCGTCACGGATTTTCCTTTCGGTTCGATGGAAATCGCTTGAACCCAGCGTTCACCCCCTTTTCACCCTACACGCGTATAAATTAATCTGTTAGCGAGTCTCGATCAGTGACGATCGCGTTTAGAGCGACCCCCTCTCAACCAGTCCCGAGTCGCATTAATCACGTCGAAGTCGTAAGAGGATAAGAAGAGCGGGGCGGGAACTGGAAAGAGAGTAGGGGAAAGAAAAGCAGAACCCCTTAAAATAATCTGGACCGAAATGAAATCAGCCAAGGCAATTTCCAGCCCCTGTATCCAACGGCGATGTTAACAGCGCTGCCGGTTTTATCCATCCACTCTGGGATGCTGTCCCTGATTCCAGAGAGCCGCGGTTGCAACCGACAAATGACGACGCGGCACCCCCCTCGCGGCGGCTCACGGAATTAAAGATCCCGAGATAAGGGTGTCATCCTTCGCTATGCATTATGTGTTCGGCAAAAAGCTCGCCCCCCGGGCTATCCTCACGGTCTCTCTGTCTCGTTTCCACCTCCCCTCTTACTCTTTTCCATAGCCAACACTGTCTCTTCTCAATTTCCCCTTCTATCTATCCTTCATCACTGTTTCTGTTGCTCTCGAAGAAGCTTCCAATTAATCTTCCTGCTACCTTACCCTCTATGAAGGATACTCCAGCGTTAACCACCTCCAAATGTATCGCCATCTCGATACGCATCGAACAGGGGTGTGTGGAAGAACCCGAAGTCGTTTTATTCCGACACATTCGACGTTCGATGAAACCAGCTTCGACAAGAATATCGGTAAGTTTTTCTCCTTACTTTCCTCTGGAAAATGACCTCGTAAACACGGGTCGAAAAGCGCAGTTGCACGAAGGATGCATCGTCCTGTACGGCGATTAAAGTATCACGCAGAGCGGGAGAAAGGGGGCTCAGAAACGGGAGCTGGTAAGGGGTTCCTTTTCAAACGATCGTGTGTAGAGTAACTCACGGAAGCAACGGGGTGCACGGGAGCGGCCGCGTTATGATCCGGACATCCTTTTCGGTCGAGACGAATAGAAGTTGGAGCAGCGTGCGCGCTCGTATTTCAGGTTTTATCGCTCGAAAACGTGGAGGGTGGGCTGGTCGTCGTGCTCGACAAACCGTGTACCAAAAAGCGGCTGCTTGGCGAGCAAACCTCCGAGAAGAACGAACAGTCGCGGCCTGGTAAGATAAGCTGGGATATCGATAGAGTATCAGAGTATCGACCGTACCGATCGTGGGATATTTGAAAAATAGATCACGAAAAGAAACGGTCCGAATCGCGAGCTGGATTTACTTCTTACCGTAGTTTGGATGATAGATCCGAGAAGGAAGTGCTTGTAGCATGAAGAACGAAGCAACTTATTTCTTTGAGTAGTTTGAAGTAGCAACTGGACTGGGTGCATATTCTATCGATGCATTGCAACTTATTTTTTTTTTCTGGAGATTTAGTTTATGTTTGATAGATAGATAGTACCGATGATATTATTAGCAATCCACTCTCGATTAATGAACGACGTTAACAGTTTAACAATTTAGCTAGAAGAAGCGTATAAAGAAAGAACCGATTGGAATGATGACCGCGAAGGAATATCATGGCAATATCTGTCGGCGAAGGGGAAAAGGAGGACTGGTGGCCGTAACTGTGGCTGGTCGAAATCGGAGTCGCTTTATCCCGGTGTATTGTCGGCGCGCATCCTAAAGCAATCACACGGGCGGCCGGCCAACCCACCATTACACGATATACTGCCTTAACTTTGGACGGAGAAGCGACGTCGGCGTCGCCCTGCGTCGCGCCGCTCCGCTCCGCGCCACGCCGCATCGCGAACGTTACGTATAGGGTGTACCGAAGGAAATAACCGTCATCTGTATTCGCGATAACATCGTAATTGAATGCGGTTGACGGGGATTTGCTGTACGGCAAGCGACCACCAGGCCCATAACCGTTCCCTTTTACCTCGGCTGCCTTCACCCTCAGTCATCCTTCTCCTTTTTTCCCGCAACCACCTCGTTTCGTCCCTCTCCCTTTCTCATCTACCCTTTCTCGTTCGTACTTTCTTCCTTTCTTTCGTTCTTTTCTTTCCTTCGTCGCGTTGATCTCTCTTTCCTCGTTCTGCTACCGACCCCGTACCCCTAGCTCTGCTTTCGTTCTCTGGCCCGCCACCCCCTCCCGCACCCTTCTATCTCCACCCCAGAGTATTAATCATATCGAGGTGCGGAAAAATCTACTTCGCCGACGTTTCGAGCGTGTCGTGGTGGCGTCACGTACACGCGGCTCCGAGGCTGGGGAAACTGAATGGCGATACAAAGATAGCAAACGTAGGAAAGAAAGTTTATGGGGGGTGTTTCGTGAAAAGGGATTCTATATGTTCTCGTGTACGAGAGTGGACTCTAGCCGCGATACGGTTGCCACCGTCACAAAAGAAGTCACTGAACTTTTAGCCGCCTCTTCTCAGAAGCAATTTCTACCGGTACGCTGGCTGGCCCAGCAAAGGAAAAATCGTGTGCCACGATGAAAACGCGCGAACATCTCGATTTCAATTAGTCCCGCCACCGTACCACCTTTCTCTCCCTCCTTCGTGCATCGCGTTAATATCGTTGCTCCGCTCGCGGACCATTTCCATGGATACGCGACGGAACGCGTCGCGTCATAAAAGGAGTAACCTCGTCAGGGTGTATCGGAGTGTAAAAATCAATTAACAGAAAATAAAAACACACTTGCCGGAGATAGGTGGGATTGTTCGGGTGCATCGATACCCGTTATCGGGAGTGTACAGGGTCGGTAAGCGGGCAAGAAAGAGGAGGAAACACACGTGTCGGAATAATGAAGGGAAACAGGAGCTGGTTTCGCGAGCCGGGCCAGGATGGATAGATCGGTTCTCTCGGTTCTCTCGGTTCTGCGGCACTCGCTGATGGGAAATACTTGTTTCCCCGCCACTCTCACCCGACTGTCGTTAGATTGGCACATGACCGTCTGATTTCAAGCTCTATTAATGGCATTCCTTCTCTCTCCCTCTCTCGCGTCACTTCCGTTCCCTTCTCCTTCTGCCCTATCTTCCACGACCTCGTTCAGCCCTCTCTCGCGAACACCTGCGCGCGAATTATTTAGCAAATTTCACGACGCTTATCGCCTTGTTTCCTATTCCCAGTGTTCGATCGATCTCCAATTTAAGAGCAATCGATTTACAATGGATAAATCGGTCTTAAAATCTCTTTTGCATATTAATCCCTCGATGACGGTTTCCCGTCGGTTTTTGCTTTACTAAATATACACTGTATGCATTATTAGCGATGGTACAGACAGGAGCAAATAATTCGGTCGGTAAGATCGATAAATCGTATTACATAAATAACGATGACTGGTGGAGTCGATGTTATCCAGCGATACGTTACAATGAACTATCTTCCTCCGTGTTACGGATGGATGCTCGTAATCTGTACCGCTGGCGCCGGCCAACCGGTGTCCGTTCTGCCAGGAATTATAGAGATCCGACACTTTTTCTGTGGCAAGAAACAAGGGTAAAAATGGGGGATCCTAACGACGCTTTAAGTCCGGCTACGAGGGTATCATTGGCCTTTTGTAACTGTGAATGGTTGAATGTATCGCTTACGGTGACCGGAGGTCTTAATAAAACACAGCTAGGATAATTAAATCGTGAAAATCTTTGTCGAAGCCATAAATTTGAGTCGGAAGACACCGGACGGTACTTATCGAGCGTAAAGGCGACTTCGAGACGAGCGATCGAGGGATTCGGCGAAGACAATAATCGCGCGTAAGCAGAGCATTAGGGGTAAGTTAGTTGGCCGTAAGCCCCCAAAGTACGAATTAGTGTCTGGCAAGCACTATCGGCGGAGGAGTTTCGGTTGGAGGGCGATTTTCCGCAGGTCCTTAACCACTACGATGCGAGCACAGAGGCTCGTGAACGACTCGTAGAACAAACTAAGAATATTACCATTGGGAGTACGCGCTAATTGTGCACGGTTGACCCTAACGGGCCATGTATTTCAAAAGTAACAAACTAGTAGAAGATTTAATCCAACTTTGCTCCGCCACGTGTGTTAAGATCACAGTCGACAGGCAACGCTTGGATATTTTAATTCTAACACCGATTGCGTTTACGCAAGTAATGGGGCAGCGTGGAATGTACACACGGGTTCAAGTATGTTCCCCGGGAAAAGTGGTGCATGCTAATTAGCCGACAATACCGTACCGAGAGCCGCGCTCGATGCTAACTACCTCGATATTCGAAATTTAGGGGACAGGAGTTTCGTTTGCGCAATCAATAGGACGGTGCAAAACGTTCATCTCGATTGAAGAGCGTGCTAACGAACGATGCAAATAACCGAGCTGGAAAAGTGCTGGACGGTATTTTTTCAATCTCGTTTGCTCCGAAATATCAGCATTATTATTTTATAGAAAGCATTGAAAAGCGTTTACCTAAACGAGCCTGTACGACGCAAGCCGGCATTAAAAGCTGACAGAAATTAGCTGTTTGTACTTTTTTTTTTTATTAGCTCCTTTCGAGTTGACGCAACCGTTCATCGTTACAGCAATGTTGTCGTTCTTCGAGTAAAGTCAATGTACAGGCAACAATTCGCGCGTGTCAACCATCGCGAGTGAAAAGCAGAAAGTTCTGAGCTTCGAACCGTACCCTTATCGTCTCCCTTGTGCAAAGAGGACACGTTAATGCGTCTCGTTTAAGCGAACGCGTATTTAACGGGCTCTGATGCTGAAACGAGCTGTCGGGAATAGAAAATCTGTAATTACCGCGTCCTCGTGCAGATGTAATTTGCGCTAATTAACTTGGAAGCATTTTTTCCTCTCGCCTGTGTAAGCCGCCTCTCACTGTTTCGCGACTCGACTCGACTCGACTCGGCCCCGCTTCGCTCTGACTCGGATCATGTTTTTGCCAAGGCTCTCCTTTTTGCGGCAACTCGCGCGCTCCTTTAATTGGGACGTTGGCTAATCGAATGACGCAATAAATGTTCGTTTCTCGTGCGTAAAACGAGTCGATCGTCGCGGTTAATAAGGCGATCACTGTCGAAAACACTCTTATAAAAAAAATGCCATTCAAATGATCTTCTTCTTCTTTACATTTCGTTAGTTGAATTTTGCTTTGATAGACAAATATCAGTTTGGATCGTCACATTTTGCACTGCTACATCTAATACTGTCATCAACAAGTACTGCGTTGCGAAGTAATTTCTACTTGAACGTTTCCATCTTGCTCTTCCTTCTTCTAATTCTTCTTTCTCAGCTGCTCCGGTGGCCGTAAGCCCGACGGGGATGGTTCACGATTTTACGAGGTACTAGAGTCGAGTATCGGTGGGCAATTATCCGCGAAACAAACAGGTCCGCGAGGGAAAGTCTAACGACTGTCGGGGTCTTCCCAGCGATTACCTCAAAGCAAACCGCCTAACAAGACATTGTTCCGAATAGCTTAGCCATTCTCCCTCCCCGAATCGGCCCTTTTCCACCCTCACACCCACTCCAGCGGAACCTCTTGCCACATGGAGGAACCAGCACATCCAGCGGGACAACCGAACCCGCCAGCAGTTAACAACCCTGGTCTGGCGACGGTCGTTAGCAACCACCCTCGTGTCCTTTCTCCTACCGCCTCCACCAACCACCGAGTTTCTCGCTCCGTGCTGCATCGTCTCCTAATTCAAATCCGTGCTCCGTTACACCGTTCGCCTGGAAGCTGACGAGCGTGTGGGAAACGTCCACGCATCACGGAAACGACCCGTTAATAGCCGTACACTGTACACCCTTCTGGCGAAAGTTAAACGTCTCCCTGTTTCTTCGCTCTTGTCTCGTATTCTTTAATAGTCGGTGATTTTCCCTAACGACATTTTTATCTATGTTCCATCGTTCTCGAACTATAACCTGGCCCAATAGCAGGGGACAGCCTGTGTATATCGAAAAGATCGGAGAGAATCTTGAGGGTATCTGGTCGGAGTAGCTCGTTCTCATCGATAAGAGAACGCGAGCGAAGAAAGAGTGGTCCTGGAGCGGAAGAAATACCGCGGTCGACTAGCAGCGGGCTCCTTTAAAAAAGTTCTTTCGAGTATATTCGCGCGTTAACGGCATTATCGCCGCCGCGATAAAATCCCCCGGGGTGATAATATATTCCGGCCGGCGTACCGGGAAAAATACAGATTAAGGTATCCTAAGCACGGATTTAATGCTTATTTATACGCCGCTAAGCACCAGCATTACCGGCGTATTACGATCCTTGCGAAACTTTTTCGCGCCCGCCTCGATCCGTCCGATCTTTCTTTCGCGAATTAGCGATCGCTGTTCGTTTAGATAATTGCCACAGACCAGCTGATTATTTTCTATGCTACTTTGTATTGTAGTTGCTTTTTCAAATTTCATAACGAAAAGTTCATAGAATCTTTTCTAATTAAGCGGTTAAAGTTGAACGAAGAAACTTTCAACGTATTTTTTACTACACTTTCCTTTGCTTCTACTCATTAATGATCCTTCTCGAATAAAACTTCTATGTCCGATGGTAAAAGAATCAGACGCTATGTCTCGTTGATTGTGAACGTAGAAACAGGGGACGGGAAGACGAATCGGTTTACGAGCCTGTCAGCCTCGAAGGATCGGGATTTACCATCCAGCTTCTCTTCATCCGGCCCAACTTTCCTTCCGCTTTCCCTTGATCGCGTCAAGTTTTAAGTATTTGATTACCACCCTGCCGAGCCGTAACGCGTTCGCGTTCAACGAGCCACCGTTACTGTTCGTTAGTAGCTGGAACACCAACTCTGCACGCGATTCCAGGCCCCAGCTCGACAGACTTACGATACTTTGTTACTGCGCCGTTAATTTTAACGTCTCGTACGTGCCACCGATTTTACCGAGCTTGTTCCCTGCTCGCTTTCAAATATCCGATCGTATATAACCCTCTATCTTTCTCGATGTTCAGTTCTTTTTTTTTCTTTCATTTACGTAGATTCTAGAGGTTTTATTAATAATTGTCACGTAGTTGTTTGCACTAAAAGTCGTTAGCAATGAAAAAATGCAGAATGCTTTTTTTTTACGGGATCAATCGGGAGACATACTCTACAAGATGCAAAAGGTTTCGTTCCGATTGGTCCATCCGTCTTGGAGTAATCGGTGAAAAATATAAATGAAACATTACGTTTGTTGCAATAAAAGTCATTAGCAATGAAAAAATGCAAAATGTTTTTTTTAACGGGACCAATCGGGAGACATACTCTACAAGATGCAAAAGGTTTCGTTTCGATTGGTCCATCCGTCTCGGAGTAATCGGCGAACATACATAAAAAAAAAATTACTCCCCCTTTTTCGAAGTCAGTTAAAAAAGTATCGCAAGATAGCATTTAGGTAAATCGATGAGTGACGATGATCTCTCATTGAACGGATACTTTGATGGATGAAAATCATAGCGGTTGGAAATGTAATTACCCGTTCTCCTTAACGTAATCGGCAAGACGATCGCCTATCTCGCGGCTCGATGATTCGGTGTCGTTAAAGGGAATGCTTTCACGCCACCCTGGGGAGCAGCCTGCCGGAGACATTATCACCGGGTAGGCCTACGGAATTAATATGAGCCCGTAGACTCCATCTTCGTTCACGATACATCGAAACTTTCCAGCTTTAAATAGGCAAAAAGTAATCGAAGCTTGTCGAGATAAGAATAGGGAGGAAGAATGTTTTTATCGAGATTAACGAATAGAAGATCATTAGGCGTGCAGAGGAAATATGCGCGTTTCGTTGAAGCCAGCAATTACGAGCAGTGTCATAACGTTTCTCACGAAAATGCAATTTGCCCCGAAAACCTCGACGATACGAGAGACGCGTTTCGATATTGCGACGCTCGTTAATACCGCGACTCACTTCCGTCACTTTAATAGATGTCGCCGGGGAAAATCAATTTGTTCCAATTTGCGTGTTCCGCTCAGATTTCCGCGAGGACGGACTCGAACGGGTTCGAGTCCGCGTGTACGATAGAGAATCGTTCATCCTTAACGAACGTACGGATGGTAGGATACGGCGGTCGGTGAACGCGTATCAAGCATTGTCCTTTTTCCTTCCGTTGCTTTTTATTTACTTCGATCCTTCACGGTCCGCGTTATAATTTTTATCGGCTTCCGCGCGCCGGCAATATCCGTTTCGAGCACTCCGATGAAATGAATCGCAATATTTGCCGGCCAGATTGACGGGGCAAATTTTCGAGCGGTCGATCGATCCGATGGCCAATAACGAAAATTTTCGTGAAAAACACCGGCTCGAGTCGGGCAAGCAAGAAAATTATATTTTTCAACGAAATTCCCGTGGAATTTTCGAAGCGCCGATATCGAGTTTGAATAATTAAAAACTGAATCGAAACTTGACGATAGGAAAAAAAATAAACGAGAATGCTTTACACGTTCGATTGAGTTACGTAAACAATTTAACGGATACTTTTGCGAGTAGCGAGAGCGATTCGAAGTGTATGATATTCGTTCGTTTTAATGAATCGAACGTAACAGGATTTCTATTTTCAAATAAGCAACGATAAGTCGTAGGGATGGAAGGGAAATGGAGGGAACGGGTCGATTAGGTCCGTATAGGCCTCTGGGTGGCAGTGAAGCGATCGGAACGCGTCGCGTAACAGCGTCCGGCTGCTATGTCAGGTCCACGGAGTGAAGTAAAATGGACTTGAAGGGTTATGGCCAGCCATCCGTGGGCTTATGGGCTGATCGCGACCGATAGAATCAGCGTTCTGGCTCCGTGCTTTTGCTCATAATCACTTTTCGATTAATTAAATTTTACGCCCTCTGTCGTCGATAAACATTAAATTTAACGGGTCGCTCCTGCCACGCCGTTACTACCGGTTACGGTCTATAAGCGAGACACTGCCATCGTAACCTCTCTAAATACAAAATGTTACTTGCTTTGCATCTTTTTTTTTTCCACTCACCTCTTTTACATATCGTACGAAGATTCTGCTCGCGCGACATCAATTTCGATCGAACTGGACGAGAAAGGAGAGGAGTAATACACGACGGAACAATCGCGTCGATTGGATCGAACGTCTACAAGAATATCGGTTCAATTAAGAATGGTAAGTGGCCTGCCGTTAATTTGAATGCCTCGAAGAGTTCGGCCCGTTTCTCTTTGGCCCGCGACGCGGCCTCTCATAAATATGCGTTCGATAGTTAACCTTTTTCTCGTCGCTTTCGTCATTCATGAGTCTCGAGCACGAAGAAATCGAGCGGATAAAGGGGAGTCGATCGAATCCTCCTCCACCTCCTTACGACCTTCTATATTTCTTTCTCTCTTTCTCCCGGCGAGACTAGCGAAATCATTGTACTCTCCGGTAAAATCGAGAAACAGAGCCATTCCGGGAATCGGGCATTCCGTGGAGGAAGAGGATGGCGAGAGGGTAAATCTGGCGAAGGCGGTAATTAAATTAATTAGCCTTCTCGAGGATGCAAGGATACCGACCGACTGAGACTGGCAACGGAACAGTGGAACGAAGCGAGACAGAACTGGCTTCTTTTTCCTTAAAACGGTCTTAATTATCAGGGAATTTCCCCTTCCCACTGATTCGACGTCCCTCTACCTCTCCCACCGCAGCTTTTCTCCTTGCTTTCCTCTTTTTTTCCTCCTCCTCCTCTTCATCCCTTCTTTTTCTTCCTCTTACTCTCTATTCATCGGTCTTTTTCTTCCTCCAGCTACATCTCGTCGTTCCTCGTTCGCGCTCACACTTCCTGTCTCGGTCTTTCTTCCGGCTATTTATTAAGTTTTTACTTATGGCGGTGACCGTACAACAATCGTCCCGTTCCGACGGTCGGTCGATTGGATTCGGGCGTTTTCACCGGCGGACGAAACTTTCGCCGCGGCCTGCCATGGGACGGCTCGCTTTCCACGAAAGAAGCAAAGCACTCAGAGTAATTAGAAGCGGAATTATATTCCGCCGCGTCCTGTTTCAGTTTATAAACAAGGACTCTTAAATGAAGTTCCCCTGGAAGAGGCAGGACGCTTTAATGCTCGAACGCAGAGCGCGTTCACGTGTTTCCCGATCCTCGTCCCTCTTTTCTCTCCTTCTCTCTTTCATTTCCTCTCTCGCGTCGCGTTTTGGCCCGCACGAAATTCGACGATGCGCCACGTCCTTCTCTCTCTTTTCTTTCCCTTTTTTTTCACCGATTTCCAAACGTTGCTTTTTGTCGCTCTTTATCGACTAAAAAAGCAGAGCCACGACTTGCCATTAAATCGCAGTAAACGAACCGGTTCAGAGAATCGAGTTCTCTGTTTCGATCGTTAAATTTCGAAATCACGCGGAGAAGCGATCGGTGTGAACGCGCGACGCGACGCGACGCGACGCGATTAAAAGGGGCGCCCAACGGATTTCCAAAGGCGTGCCGTATTAACTTTCTGTTATTAATTATTATTTCGCCGGCGGTATCGATTGGGGCCGACGCCGGATAATTGGACCCCTGGACCGTTAATAATTCCGCTCGCTCGTTGAGTTAATATTCATAAATTAGCGTTACAATAGAGTTTGTTACGCGTACAACTACAAGCGCGCCGTCGACCGTGCCATTTTCCGACGTCGAATTACAGTAACTCGGTCCGCATCTCCGGATGAAGTTACCTACGATAAACGCCGTTTGAATTATGCTGATTCTTGAACCGTCTTGCGTGCCTTTTCTCGCGCGCCGATTTAATTGTTTGAAAAGGCTCGACCCGTTATGCGTTAATGAGAACAACATTCACAACTAATTAAACGACAATTCCTGACGAGTTAATCCCTCGGCGTATAATGACGAGTCAAACTCGTGGCGCACCTTACAGTTCTAATATGACAAAACTGAACTGTACCTTATTATAATTGAATTTGAAGTATAATTTCAATTAGAATTTGCATAGCCGGGAATCTGTAAATGCGATAGATGCATAATACTTCAATTTCCTTGATTCGCCTCAACATTACAGCAGTGAGTAGTTGGCTTTTAAGGGGTTCAAGACACGGATTGAAAGGTTAAATTTATTTAACACGATATACAAAATTACGAACTAACGGAGTATCCAAAACTCATAATAAAATGTTAGACGCGTGTAACGATATAACGCGAGACATCGTCGCGGTTCTCCGTCATCGATCCCGGTGTTATCGAACACGCGTGCACGTTGAACGATGACGGTTTCGCCACCAAAAACGGGGCCCTGGCGCGGCATCGGGTGTGGGGGCTCCCGACTGCGAAATTAGCGCGAAGCCCCTCCGTTCGAAGTCGTTCTCCCCGCGAAGCTTCCAACTTCCTAAGCTTGCGAGCCAACTTCGGTCCTTCCGTCGCCGACCCATTCGTTCTCTCTCCGTTTCTAACTATACGGGGATGGTAGCCGCGAGCAGGCGACAGCAGCGAGAGGGGTACGCGTTTTAGTTTTTAATGATTATTGCGTCCCAGCTCGGCCAAGGTAGCTAGGCATTACCCGGTGGTCTCCCTTTCGCGCATTTGCATATCTTTCCAGCCGTTAGGAATTGCCTGCTGGCTGCTTTCGTCCGCCCTAACCAGGCTATACCTACTAGCACGGACGTACTGCAACTTTTAAGCCCTTCTCTACCTCTTCCTCGCGCTCGCCATTCTTCTCAGTCTGTTTTTCGCCTCCTTCTTTTTCGTTCCTCCTTTTGTTCTTTCCTTCACTGGTTCGCCTCTGCTGTCACCTCTCTCTGTCTCACCTTGTCCGTGTCCTCCTTTATGGGCACCGCGCGCCAGTCGCGATTGTAATTTTTCTCTTCCCAGTTTTTCGCTTTCCCTCTTCCTTTAATGACACTCGCTTTTTCGAGTGCTTTAATTAACGTTTTGTCAGGCGTTCTTTAATTAGGCCGCTTTTGAAAATATCAGTCAGCGAAAGGCACGCCGGCGGCGCGCCTCCTGGCTCACTACCGGCTCGATCTACTGTTTCGAACGAACGTTTGCGCTGTTCTTCGATCAATCGTTGTTCTGTTAACCGTTTCGCAATACTGAATTATTGTTTGCACTATATGGACGTGTTATATATACACAGTTATTTCGATAGAAATTGTCAATGGAAAATTGTCTATGCAACGCGACGACGAGGATGATTACAAGAATAAATTATTTTCATTTCGAGGAAGTTTCTTCGCTCGAAGGTATTCGAGATAGATCCTCGTCGAAAAGCCACGTTTCCGGGTAACGTTTTCACGCTTTACGTAACAGTGATCGTTTTCTTGAAATCGTACCACCGCGTCGAACATCATGGGGAACGAATCTTCCGCTCTCGAACGCTTACGCGCCATTAAATGCTCACGGTGCGATCGTCGAAATTCGCGAACGCCGCGCTCTCTCCTTATCATCGAAACGAGTAGGTTCATAACCTTCTCGTATCGAGCGTGGTGTGGTTTACACGTTATTTAGCTAGCTCTCCGACCTAAGGCGTCCCTGGTAAAACTCTTGTCCAACGGCGTGCCCGAAATAAACGTCTCTGTCTCGCGTACGCTTCAATCTTGAAAACGTTGCATCGAATTACCGGATGGAAAAGAAGGCGTCTCGCGAAACGCGTCTCGCGATAAAAGCGCGTCGAGGCTGGAAAACGTTTCGAAGGGTGAGTGGAAGGAGCAGCGAAACGGACAATACTTGAACAGCGGGCGCCTGGGACCCCTGTATAGAGATAATATCTGTATTTCATTAACATTATTCTCTGCGGTAGACTCGGCCCGTCTCTGTGTTACGTGTGCACGGCGAGACCCCAACAAGGTAAACGGTTTCTCGAAAAGGGGCTCGATTGTGCGTTCGAAACCCTTCTTCCAGCTCGCTGTGTGTGGTTGCTCGTCGCGATCTTCCGCGGAACTTACTCTCCCCACGAGACCTCGCTGTGGCTATAGTCTCGTAATTAGAAACTGATTGCGCGAGGAGTCTCATTTAAATTTCTGCTTCCACCGCGGAAACCTCCACGTTCCCCCCTTCCCAGGATCCTTTATATTAAAAGGGCAGATTACGAAACGTGAGACAACTCGACAATTTCCGAGTCGAAATTTAAATGACGTACAGTTTAAATCTGTTAATTGTAGACGAGGAGGTTGATAACTGTACTTTTCTGAACGAGGATTTGTGCAAAAGGGAAACAGATGAGAAAATGATATCCGTCCACGGTCAGAGAATTCAAAGTAAAAAATTCCTCCGGGAGGCATCGACGAGGGTGTTCGCGGTGGCCGTAGCAAATCCCGTGGAACGACGTCGAGCCTCGATGGCCGTAGTTTACTCGGGATCGTTACGGAACAGCCGCGGAATTCAATAGCAACAAACACCCGCGCAGATATTATTCGGCAGTAAAATTTTATTTCGCCAGCATTTATTGGCGTATTCGCAAAGCCGTTCGACCTGGCCCACCTCTCTTTCTCTACGTTCGCGTTATTTGATAACGACAAATTATTGTTACGAGAAAAAATGGCGCCAGCCTGTGTGTACGTGCGTATCCCACCTCTGCGACAGCTAACGTGCACGGTGGGCATAGAGAAAGAGGGTCAGATTGAACGGTGAGAGGAAGAGAGAAGGAAGAGGAAGAGGGTTGGCTTTGGGCCCGAGCCGAGGCTCGGCTATCGGCCGACGTGTCCGAACGCTAATCTCTCGATATTTTAGCGGATTTATATTTTCACCGGTTGCACTGCCGCCGCTCGATCCCCCGAGATATCTACAGGGGAAACGTACGACAGGCATATCATTTCTCCTTCGAACTCCACAGACGCTATATTCCTCTCTTAACAGCCTTCTTTTCGCGGCGCTTATCGATACTTGAACAAAAAAGAATAAATCACCAGCCTCAGGTAGCCGTAAACTGGTGAACGTCTCGTGGATCGCGTTGTCCAAACAAAAACGCGTCAAATTATAATTCGTCTAGCTATACGTATGTCGCAATGGTCAGCTCCATTATCGAGCCACGTTCCATTATACCGTGATACGGATAATCACTAGAAGCAGATATTTTTCCAATTCGTGGCAGGGATTTCGCGTGTCAAAGAATTGGAAGATATTTTGTGATGTGTGCGAGATTGAGGTGGGGGGAATTGTCGGATTGGCAACGCGTTAAGTTGTTTCGCGTTAT